AGAAACCTGCACAGCCGTATTAGGAAGAAAGAAGAAGGAAGACAAGGAATGGATCTCGACGGATACCTGGAAGCCGATAGAGCAGAGGGAGGAGGATGGTGAAGCAGAAGATAAACCAGTGCAAAGACGCTCAACGACAAGAGGAACTGAGTACAATGTATAAAACACTGAACAAAGAAGTGAAGAAGAGTGCACGGAAAGACAAAAGACACTTCTACGAAACACTGGCAAGTGAAGCAGAACAGGCTGTAGGTAAGAGAGACCTGACAACACTGTATCAAATAACCAGGTTGCTATCTGGGAAGAGATCGACGCAGGCGAAACCAATAAAAGATGATGAAGGAAATCTAATTACCAAAGAAGAGAAACAAAGGAAACAATGGGCTGACCACTTCAAGAAGCTCTTGAATCGGCCACCACCTGCACTTCTTCCAGAAATACCACCTGCAGCCTCCAACAAAAGTGGAAGTCCTGAACGCCATAAAGCTACTGAAATGCGGGAAACAAGTAGGACCAGATGGAATCCCGCCAGAAGCACTGAAAACAGACGCAGAGACAACAGCGGCGGACATGCTCACACCACTATTGCAGAAGGTGTGGAAGGAAGAGAAGGTACCTGGACCTGGAGAATGGAAGAAGGGTTACCTTGTCAAACTGCCGAAGAAGGGAGACCTCAGTGTTTACAAGAACTGGCGCGGAATCACTCCCCTGTCCACCCCAAGTAAAATATTAAGCCGCATCATCCTGGAGAGGCTTAAAGATGCACTGGATTCAAAACTGCGACCCAAACAGGCAGGCTTCAGGAGGTACAAATCATGTGCAGACCAAATTGCAACGCTTCGTATCATCATAGAACAGAGCATAGAATGGCAATCAGCTCTCTACCTCAACTTCATCGACTTTGAGAAGGCCTTTGACAGCGTCGACCGAGAAGTAATTTGGAAACTGCTCCACTACTACGGAGTACCGCAAACCTTTATCAGCCTCATTCAACAACTATATGAAGATGCTACATGCCAAGTAATCCACAATGGGAAGCTCAGTGATGCTTTTGAAATGAAGACAGGAGTGAAACATGGCTGCCTACTATCACCCATGATATTCCTTATTGTAGTCGACTGGATCATGCAGCAAACAGTGGGCAGCGAGAAGAGGGGGATACACTGGACGACGGAAAAGAACCTAGAAGACTTGGATTTCGCCGATGACTTGTGCCTGATGTCACATAAACTTGAAAATCTGCAGGCAAAAACTAACAAGTTGACAGAAGAGGCAGTGAAGACAGGACTTCAGGTGAATATAGAGAAGACAGAGGTGATGAAGATACCGCACCACCACCAACAACAACAAACTCCAATCACCGTCAACGGGAGAAACTTAAAGGAAGTAACCTCCTTCACCTATCTAGGAAGCACTGTTTCAACTACAGGCGGGACGGACGAGGACGTCAAAGTCAGCCAGGATCGGAAAAGCAAGACAGGTGTTCATTAGCCTGAAACCAGTGTGGAGATCTTCTGCACTCAGCATGTGGAACAAGATCCGGATTTTCAACATCAACGTCAAGTCAGTGCTTCTGTATGGTTCAGATACTTGGCGCGTCACGAAAGGCATTTCCAATAAACTACAGACATTCATCAACAACTGCTTACGCTCGCTACTGAAGATCAGATGGCCAGAAAGAATAAGCAACAAGGAACTCTGGGAACGAACCAACCAAGAACCTATCACGCAACAAATATGCAGGAGGAAGTGGAGATGGATTGGCCATGCACTGAGAAGGCCGACTGGGGACATCACGCGTCAGGCCCTCGAGTGGAATCCCCATGGGAAGCGACGAGTTGGGTGTCCGATGGTGACATGGAGGAGGTCGTGCGAGGAGGAAATGAGAGCTTCTAGGCTGTCGTGGGACCAGGTTCAAAAGATCTCAGAGAACAGAGTGTACTGGAGACGTGCTACTGAAGCCCTATGTTCCACTAGGAACCCAAGGGACTAATAATAATAATAATAATAATAATAATAATAATAATAATAATAATACTCATGAGTTTTCGGTTTTTTGATTTTAATGACAACTCATTTATTGGCACTATTTGTATTGCCATGCCTGACAAACCGTTTTCAACTATCAAATCGCTACCCCAGAAAAATGTATAGATTTGCGATTGTACAGCCTTGAAAATGAATATGCCAAATAGAGACTCTTCACTGCAATATTTGTTCTTCTTTCATATCCTCATCGGTATATTTCACATACTGCGATATATATATATATATATATATATATATATATATATATATATATATATGTATATTAGTGAGACAAGTACATCAGTAATGCGTGACCATGGTTAATTCACACAACCACGAATTGAATCCAAGGAAAGAAGAATCCACACAGAAATGGCTATTTATACCATCAAGTTTCATCGCCTATGATCGACAGATTTATTAGTATTGCCTTTTTACTGATTGTTTAACTAGCTAAGCAAACACTGAATGAAAGATTGTATCAGAATTGAAGATGAAATCTGCATTCGTATTCAGTTTATAAAGGGAATCAATGAGATGGATATTGAAAACAAGAGAAAGAATTTTCGGAAATTCTCAGCCTGTGATCAGAATGATGCGTTCATTATCAGATTTACGAATTTCACAGCAACTTCCTTGGGAAATCAAAATATGAAGAAAAGATGTCAAATACGACTAACAATCATGTTTCTACTGTTATTGCTTGTATTACACTGTCGTTGATTGGACCGAATCGATCAATCTGTGTTGGCATATGGGCTTCCTTGCAGATGCCTCAATATTGCCTGTGCTTTATTTATGTATAGTAATGATGGGTAGTAGCTAGCAAAAGGAGTACGGGATGCGCATTTCGTCCTATTTGGGACTGGTCAGCTGGATGTACCTCCCTCCCAGTGGGAACAACATCACTCACTGGGAGGCAGGTACATGCAACTGACGAGTCCCAAACAGGACGAAATGAGAATCATGTTTCTGTTTGACTTGAATGTCTGTCACCTCAATTTGATAGAATCTGATTGGTTATTTGTCCTCTTCTGTGTATACTTAAATATGAAGTTACTCTTAAGGATATCCTAACTACCAATTATCTTCATCTGCTTTTACCTTGTTAATTTAGTAATTCCTGAGGTGGCTTTTAAAATCAGTCGAATCAGACTTCATATTTTCTATATTGATACTATACATGTTTTCTGCCATTCCTAAATATCTTTCAATTCGTGTCTAGTTGTTGTACTTAGACGCTGTCAGAAAAGATAGACAGACAGACGAACAAACAGACATCTGGTTCGTCGGTGTTTCCCATGTAAAATATGGTATGGCTATTTGTCCTTAACCTTGACAAAGGTAGTGTCATTCGTATTAAATTGGTCGATTATTAACCTTGTTCACTTATTTGTGTTATTTAACATTTTATTATTAGTGTTATTGTTAAGATCCGCCTTTTCCCGCAGTGGTAAATCTTGCCTTCGCAGTCTCATCTTCTAAGTCTCCCAGTAATTTGCGGACAGCATTCCAGCAATCAGTATGCTTTGTTGTGTGACACTGTCGTCGGTATATGACGACAGTTCCTAATTCGTAACCTATCAGTTAGGAGTAATCCCACGATGCAGTATTATCCATTTCACATCTAAAGTGTTGTTTTGCACACTAGAAATAGACAGTTTTCCAGAGAATTCTAAGTACAACTAGACCCAGACTCTGTCTTTTCAGTTTTTTTCCTGAGGATTAAGATGTCTGTAGGCGAATATATATATTTTAGGTAGGGTATAATCCATTTAGCATCAAAAATAACTTCACGAAAGTGGGCAAAATAGGTGCTAGATATATGCTACTGACTGATATGAGTAATCATATACTATTTACGCTAAGCAGCAGTGCCTCATAGAATAGATTTGATTCATGTGGATTTTTGATCCCACCATTTATATCAAACAGATACTAAACTATTTTCAGTCACAGGATCTCATGAAAATGGTTTCTCGGGTTATCGTACCCGCAGAGAATAACAGTTGCTGAATCTATCCTTCAGGTTCGAAGCCATGTTAGTACCAGTTGGCCCACACTTTCCTGCTTCCTCGACTACCATAGAAAGAAATTGTATTTGCAGAATACATAATATTTTTACGAACATCCCTGGTATGCGCTGAATACGCTAACTGTCATTCTAACACTTCGGTTCGCGTAAAATTCAAGCCTGCTTGAGAGTTTATTACTACTTGTTACATCCATCTGAGAAGCCCCAAATAAGACGAAATGTGCATCCTGTATTCCATTGATAGCCACCAAGTAAACTGTAAGAAAGCGAATATTCGGGCAGTATGAAGGCATCTGCATAGAAGCTCACCTGCCAACAGAGGTTGAGCAGTGCGACCAAGTATAGCAAAGGTACCAGCAAACAACAACTGATACCCGTTGTACAAGAGATGGCTCTCATGTCTCAATGGACAGATGGGTAATGCTTTGGCATTTGAGGTAATGAGTTCAAGTCTCAGTGGTAATACCATCACTCATCGGGATGCAGGTACATCCAGCTAACGAGTCTCAGATAGAACTAAACACATGTCCTGGATTCCACTGCTAGCCACCAAATAAAGTGCTTGAAAGTATTTATTAACTTGGAGCTGAGCTTAAAATCGTAGCTAAAAACGGCTATTATTTTTCCTGAGTAAGTATACTACACTTCCCTTCTGGATGCCAAAATCAGAGGATAGCTACGAGAAACAAATCTTATGCCTTTTCAAGGTAGTATTCATCATGGGCAGAGATCAGCTGGAGAACCACTGAGAACGTGGAAGTACTGGACAGATGTTTCGTCCTCAGCTGTAGGTATTCGCAATCTGGTTATGGATCGAACTCAGGACCTTCAGGATTCACGGTGAACGCGCTAACTACTAAGCCAATGGGTCAAAGTTCATTGCATTTTTTATAATTGCATAAATAGCAGTATAATAGTAATATTTTTAAAAAATTACCTTCAATTCAAAGTCATTGGGAAAATTAAGTGAAATAACTGTTGTCAAACCATAATTTGGTGTAGTAACAACCACGAAAATCTCTTATTTGATGTTGTAATGCATCGGGATTAAATCATAAGATCATTTCTTCTACCTGCTTTGTTTTCACTCGGATTAATTTCACCTGACATCTTCGATAATTGATTATTTTGGAGGTTATTCTAACTGACTGTTCAGAGCAAAAGAATTTATTACCTTGGCGGCCTGCATGAACTTTCAGCTACCAATGATGTCCTCTAACAGATACATGGTATCAAATTCCTCTTTTTGAGTTTGTTTTAATCTCTCAAATAAGCCCTCGAAACGTATCATGTACTTTTGTAGATTTTTAAAATGTTCTGAACCAGTCGTTTTTTGAAATAATAATAAAACGAAGGAAAAAATATAGAAATGGACTTTAGAATACAAAAAAATACATTATATTTCTTTCTTCAGATGCCTACCTCGCATACTACATTCTTCTGCTGCTTGAATGAACCACCACCACTAAAGACTTAACTGTAAACCAGTGCAAACCGGTTCCATCATATTACTACTTTTGATGCTGTAATTAAGAACATCACTCAGATGCCATAATCATTTTGTTTGGAAATATTGTTTTCGGAGTGAATTCGTTAGCTTATTACATCATGATAATTCAATACTGCATCAAACAAACAGTTTGGAATAAAGCTATTATTATTATTAAAAATGCATTTTATAAGCTGACTGTTTTATGGAACTAGAATGGTATACTTAAACGAAGTAGCGATATGATTTCTCCCTATGCGTTCATCTTATTTCAGCAGAACACATTCATTGAAAGATGCCATCCTATGCCCAATCCTGATTTCAGAATAATATCGGCGGTTAAATTGATATATGTGGTGCCTTAGAGGTAATAGGGTTTGCGGTAAAGTTCTAGAACCATCCGGATCAACCTAGGACCAGGCATTACTGCGTAACGGTCCGAATTGCCACACCTCATATCAGTATATCAAGTAAAAAAACGGTGAGGTGAAAGATGAAGATAAGAGAATGCAGTCAAAAGAAATATAAGGTACGAGAAGAGGGAAAGGAAGAATGAGAGAACGGTGAGATTCAGTGTAGTGTTGAGATTAGGATAATGTGTGTATACATCTGCGCCGCTGACATCGGTTCTGAGCCACATCACCTAGAGTCTCCAGCCACTGGTTCCTCTTGTCCGGTGGACCCCAACCACCTAGTCTGCACCACACCACATGGCTCAAACCAACAGTCAGAGACTTCATACATTGGTGCCATGTTTTATTCTGGCCACCTCGGGCCTTTCTTCAGCCTGGACCTACTTCGGCCAATACTGTGTAACAAAACAATCGGTGACTAGGCATACGTAGTACTTGTCCCAACCGTCTCAGTCGATGAAGGTTCATAACCTCGTCGACGGATTCACCTCTACTCCCCAAAACTCTACACCTGACTTCTGCGTTACTCACATGGTGACACTACGGAATACTGCCCATACTACGAAGGCAACGGTGGTCAAACACCTGAAGCCAGCCTTCTCATGTCTTCCACCTTCAATGGCCATGTTTCACAGCCATACAGCGGAACAGAGTGGACTACTGTGCAGTACCCGCGACCCTTAACAGACACGGATATCACGGCCGCGCCATAGGTGGCGTAAATTGGCAAAAGCCAGCTGAGCCTTTTGTGTCCGTGCAGAGATTTTATCGACCACCGAGCTAGCCACCAGGGCTGATCCTACTTCCCAGGTAAGTGAAGTGGTCGACACACTCAACCACTTCACTCTCTATTGTTAGCCGTGGCACCTTTGAAGACCAATCCTGAAGCAACAATCCTCATTTGGGTGGTGAGAACCGCATCCCAAACATTCTCAAATTCCTACTCAAAGTGTTCAGAAGACTCTGCATCTTGTCAGGGTCTTCACCTAACAGGAATATGTCATCTGCATATTCTAGGTCTAATGAAAATTCTCCCGTGATTAGGTCAACATCTGTGCAACCTGATGATGAGAGGGAAACCTCCATAAGAATATCTATGATAAAACTGAATAAGAATGGAGAGAGTGGGCACCCTTGGTGGACACCATTCGATGAGCATAGCTCCCTGGCCATCTCACCGTAGGCTCTAACACGCCCACAAGTGTTCGAGTAGAGAGCCTTCAATAAGGTGATGTACTTACTCGGTACACACGTCTTTCAGTGGGAGACATTGCCATAAGACTTGTCGATCAACGGAGTCGAATGCCGCTTTCATGTCGAGAAATACAGCTATTGTCGGGCACCGGTAGGCGTTTCTGTGTTCCAGGACCTGGCACAGTGTGAATACTTGGTCGATACATCCGCAACCAAGTCTAAGGCCTGATTGGTTTTCTCGGGTTGTCGTTCCCGAGCTCCACTCAGGCGTCGGAGAATTATACAACCTAGAATCTTGGACACTATGTTCGTCAGGCTGATTCCTCTGTGGTTATCACAAGGGAACTTCTCGCCTTTCTTGAAGACTGGAATAATCAGTGATTTGGACCAGTCAGAGGGAGTCGTATTTGATTCCCACATACTAGCTAACACTTCCGTTAACCTCGCTAAGAGCACTCCACCACCATCCTTGTATACCTTAGCAGGTAGTCCGTCTGGTCCTGCCCCCCTTCCTCGTTTCAGGTTACCTACCGCTTTCTCAACTTCTCCTAGTGTTGGGGGGCCTATCTCTATGTCTCATTCAGGATCCGTTTGGATAGCGGGCAAAGCGATAGTGGCTGGAGGCCAGTTAAACTGCTGTTCGAAGTGTTCTACTGATCGTTCCAGTCGTCTCCCCTGCGAGTGAAAAGCAGATCCGTCCTTCTCTCCTATGGTCTCACAAACCGCAGTCTAGAACACTCTGGAATTGTACTAGTGGCTATGAAAATAACTTCTGGCACTTCAGTATTCAGTTAGGCAAAAAGTTGACAACCAATATTCACTGGGCCTTGTTAACCATTGAACTGATTTCACAAGCTTAACACCACTGAAAAGCATGTCCTGAGTGTATTTTATTTCTTTTTCTCTCGATGTGTTTTGACTACTCATTAGTACATGTGAGTAGGCATATAAACTACCAGCACAAATGCAACAAACCGTTTAATAACAGTTATACGCTGATGAATATAACTTTCATAATTGTTACTCACTGGACGTTTAATGAAGATAAAGTCTTGAAGTCTACATCCTTTGAGCAATTATCCTCATCATATCAAGCTGGTATTTTTACTGGTTGTCATATTCATCTGTGACTGCTGATCATAATATAATCTACGACAAAACAATAAGACGTAAATTGTCTGGACCGTGTAATGTACCTGTGCAACACATCTCGAACAATCTGATCACATACGTACTTTTCATTGTTGGTTGCATGAAAATTTGTACAGATAAGTGAGAATAGGAAAAGAGGTCAAGTAGGAAGGCTGAATTGAAGGCCAAATAACAATGAAAACCAATATATAGAAAATAATGGTACGTCGAACTTGGTTTCAGAGATGAATTCACCAACGGAGATTTGATGTGAAAGCAAACTGTTTTGGGACACACAAAGGTGGTTTAAAATTTCAAATAACTAAGAACTGGACAAATTTAGGGATCAGCCCCAAACAAATTTTTTAAATAGGCCTAAGGGACGTAGCAATGTCAGTTCCGTGACTTGTCTCAAAGATATGTTTCACGATCGAAGAACTTGGGTGTCCGGTACCAACATCTATATGCTTAGGTGATGCAATTTGCATCTGAAGCCACTTTAAAATATCCTCCGAGGCCCTTAATGCATGAATCTGTGATTCGTCCCCATATAAGTGTCACCACATATACATTTGAATTAGTAGATGCAATGGGATATGACATTGTTGTTCATATCGTGTTAGTGTTTGGGAGAGTGTATAGGCTTGTTGGTTTCCACTAACCAGATAACTTAGTCATTTCATCAGTAATATTAAGTCTCTGCTTAAGGATTGCACTATGACAGTCACCTTTGTATGAGAGATTGATGAAGATATCTTTCCTATGTGCAGAGTGAAGAGCAGGCTTCGGTGTTCTGGCTACTTTGTGCTAGCTAATAAATTCTGATGGATAGTTATTTTTCAACATCATCTTAGTCAGTTTTCCTCTTTCGTCTTTCAAAGTATTCGTTGAGTTCTACTGAGTAAGCGCCTAACTAACGCTCGCTTGTACTGAAATGTATCCATCCTGTGGCCCACTAATTGATATGTCCAAGAACAGCAGGTAGTCATCGTCCTCTTCTACACATGTCAAGGATATGCTACTCTGCCCTTCATCCAATCGGTTTAGAATTGAAATGGACTGACCTGAGTTATTACAAATAATTAGGATATCATAGATATATCTTCGACATAGATGGTCATGATTAGTAAAGTTCTTGGCTAAGTTCTTTACATCTGACATAAATATATCAGGTGAAAAGGGGGTCCAAGGGCTTTTCTTATGGCAGCGCCATCAACCTAGAAGAAATGTTCACCCTCGAATATAAACTTAATATTACTTGTGCAGAAAAGTAGTAGCTGTCTTAAGTGATGCAGAGGAATGGCTACTGAAAAATTATGCGTAGAAATGTAATCACATAAATGACAATTGTATTGACCAACACACGCACGTGAGTTAGCTTTTATACCTTGATATGTTTAGTTACGTGTAAATGAAATTCAGTTAGATACATGTGGTGAGGCATACGCAAATTAACTTGTTACGATTTTCAATAGGAAGAAATAGTACTTCGTATATGCGTTGAATCTACCTTGCCTGGTTAACTAGTTCACTAGTTACTAGCCGGTTCTAAGCCCGGGTAAACAGGGAAGGTTGGGCATACGGCTAGCAACCCTACCCCGTAAAACAAATCTAACCGCTAAAGAAACTTCAAAGCACAAACGATATATAAAAAATAAAAACAAACTTATTCCTCGCTGAAATCGGAGAGACGAAAGGACGCCAGTTGGTGAAAGCCTTCGGAAAGCCAGTTGGCCGATGTGTCTTCTCTCCCTCGATGAAAGCGAAAGTAAACGTGGGGACATGGAATATCCGCACCATGTTTGAACCCAACAAGGCAGCCCAGATTGCAAACGAGATGAAGGGGTATCACATTGAAGTACTTGGAATATGCGAAGGCAGATGGAATGGGAGTGGACTCTCCAAACTGTCAACTGGAGAATCAATAATCTACTCCGATATTGTCACCCAGACGACACGACAACCACGAGCACACTGAGTTTCGGAGTGGCTATCATGATGTCCCCAACAG